GACCTTATAGAATTGAGGTGCTCATAAGAAATCCATGAGGAAATGTCCAACTGCTAAGTTGGATCTGTGGGTGCAGAGCTCATGAGAGAGATCTGAGCTAGAGATTTAGGAATCATCAGTATTTGGGTCACTGAACCCATGGGTGTGAAAAAGATTACTCAGGGGAGAATATGTCCAATGAGAAAAGAAGGCTGCCTAAGAAAGAATGCTGATGGTTAGCAGGAGTTAAGAGATGGATGGAGGAAGAGGTGCTTGCAAAGGAGAGTGAGAAGGAATAGCCAGCAAGAGGAAAACCTCAGGATGTGTTGTCATGTAAGTCAACACAATGTGTCATGAAAGAGAAAAGGAAGACTTTACCATGCCAATGATGCCTGCTGACAGAAAAAGGTCGCAAGAGATAAGGGCTGAAAACGGTTGATCGAATTTTCCAAGAAAGAGGTCATTAGTGATCTCTATGACAGTGATGTCATTGGAGTGGATAGGCAGGGGTCCCAGCCTCTTCGTCTAGGCTCTGAGTACACCGTCATGGGATTTACAGACCTTGTTGAGTACCAGCTCCTCTTCCCAAACCGAAGCTTTGACCCCACAAGGATCAGCTTCTTCGAGATGTAGATTCTGGGGTGGAATTCACTGCTCTGGGGCATTCCGTGACCAGAATGATTATCATATTAACACCATTACCATATTAGCACCATTATCATATGATTATCGTATGATGATTGGTGCTGTCATAGGATGATTTTCATATTAGCACTGTTATCACATTAGCACCATTATCATAGATGCTAATCTTTATTGCGTGCTGAGCTCTTTACATGGGTAATCTGATTGAATTCTGACACCAACCCTATGAGGTGGGTACAATGCTACAGTACTTACTATGTGCCAAGTACTATGTTAAGTACTTTACCTACTCAACTTCTTTATTATCCCCAGATAAGAATCTCTGTGGCCCACATCATAGTCTAGACCCAGGCTGAGGTGAGTCAAGCCAAGATCAAGGAAGAAGTAAACCAAGATCTTGTTATTGGAAAAATTCTGTTGCCTCTGGGCTCCAGGAAAAATTCTTCTCTGAGGAATGTTGACTTATGAAGGCATTTTCCTGTGTAGGTTGTTGGGGCAGGACTGTCTGGAGGAGGGGCCTAAAGGTCAGGGAATGTTTCAGACGCTCATCCAGGAGACCATGATAACTTTCCTCAGGGGGTCATCTACGATGATGCTCATTAAGCACTGGAAGGCCCCTAACCACGAGTTTCCATTGCCCTCCTTCTTGGGTACATAGGAAGCCTTGGGTACTTCAGAAACTCAGTTTTGTGAAGACCTAAGCTCCCATAGGTTAGGAAGCACCGAGAGCACGTTGCCATTTTACGTTGTAGCATCATGGAGACCGTGATAATCACAGCTCTTTAATTAATATACCCAGGCACACCCAGGTAGAGGGTTATATTTGTCGAATTAATGAATAAAAGAATAAATGAATTTTCCCTAGGGCCAGTCCTTGTTCCAGCTTAACTCTTGTTTATATTCACAACCAGACTAACCTCCCTAACCAGCAGAGCATCTGTTGCTTTTTGTAGGGCAAGAATAACAAACATTGAGAGTGGGAGGGCTAGGTCAAGTTGATTCCATTCAACAAGTATTTAGTAAGCCTGCTGTGAACCGAGTACCGAATCATGTGCCCTCTCAGAACAGACATGAACCCATGTCATTCAAAGGTTTTAAACGTTAATATTTTACACAGGGGCACCTGGGTGGGTTTAGTCGGTGAAGTGTCCGACTCTTGTTCTCAGCTTACGTCTTGATCTCAGGGTTGTGAGTTCAAGTCCCATGTTGGGCTCCACGCTGAGCATGGAGCCTACTTAAAAAAATTAGTATTTTACACACACAAAAAGGTATAAACAGTAACATGACAAGCTCCCACGTACCCATGACCCAGCTTCAGAATCAAGACATAAGCAGTGTGCGCAATCCAAAAGATTCAAAATCAAGAGGCTTTTTTTTTTTTTTTAAGTTTGGCATCAAAATTCCTTAGGTGCCAAAACCTAATCTGAACTGACCTGAGGCTATTTCCTAGTCCTTGTCTATCCCACTAAGTGTGACAGATCATTCGTTTTGCTGCAGAAACGTTAACATGTTTGGTTATGGGGTGTTGCCCCGGACCACACTGGGTATGTTAGTTACCTAAGGTCTAGCATGTACTCGTATTGCCTTTCTAAAATCCCAACAATTCTGAATTCTCAAACACACATGGTCACAAGGTTTACAGGTAAGGCATTAAAAGTCTGTGGTCTATTGGGCCACAATTTGGGGTTTGGTTACTGAACAGTGTTTCCCAATGTTCCCCAAAGGAAAGAAGGAAGGGAGAGGTCATGAAAACTGGGTAGGTGGCCAAGGGCGTCTGATGCACCTCCTAATCCTCCTCAGCCCCTCAGATCGCATGCCCACACTTTCCCCTTGAGCTCCATCTTTCTTTCAGCCTCTGGCTTTGCCCAACTCATCTTATACAAACTTCTTATGCCAATAATTCTATACCTGTCTCACATCCTCCTCATCCCCAGGTTCTACGCCTTCCTCTCCTTGTCTCTTGCCCGGTTTTTCTCCTCTCAGTTTTGAGATCCCTTGTTACTCACCTGCACCCTCCATCTTTCTGCTTTCTACTGGTCTTGGTCCCTTGCCTCCTGAATCACCACCTCCAGACCCATGTTTTCTTCCCATCAGTCTTTGCTGCAGCTCTTTCTCTCTGGCGCCATTGTGTTTTTCATCTATGTATACCTCTCGCCTTTTCCCTCTTATCTTCTTGTTTACTTCTAAAACAGGCATACGTAAGTTAAAAATTAAGCCAGTTTAAAGAAAAATATTCAAAAGAGTATATAGTAGGGGCACCTGGGCCGCTGCCTTCAGCTCAGGTCCTCATCCCGGGGTCCTGGGATCAAGCCCCGCATCGGGCTCCCTGCTCAGCGGGAAGGCTGCTTCTCCCTCTCCCACTGCCCCTGCTTGTGCTCCTGCTCTCGTGCTCTGTCTGTCAAATAAATAAATAAATAAATAAATAAAAATCTTAAAACAAAAATGAAACAAAAAGAGTATATGGTAATATGCTTGATATCACTGAAATTCGTGAGGGCAGTACTCAAATGATTGTGGAAAACTTGATCAATAAACCTTTTTGGAATGAAGGATTTTTTTGAATGATGAGCCATCTAGTGGTGAATGGAGGATGGCAAATCCTTCTGGTCTGAGAAAAAACGGTGGATCTTTAAAAAGAAAAGGGGGGAGGGCGCCTTGGTGGCTGAGTCATTGAACATCTGCCTTCGGCTCTGGTCATGATCCCGGGGTCCTGGGATCGAGCCCCGCATCGAGCCCCGCATCGAGCCCCGCATCGGGCTCCCTGCTCCGTGGGAAACCTGCTTCTCCCTCTCCCACTCTCCCTGCTTGTGTTCCCTCTCTTGCTATCTCTCTCTCTGTCAAATAAACAAATAAAATCTTTAAAAATAATAAAAAAATCAAAAGAAAAGGGGGCTCAACCCTCAACCACCCTAACAGGTCCAAAGCACTATCCTAGGAAAATGTGTGTACAGCCGAGGTCAAGTCCCACCTGGAACATAGTTAGAGGTGATGTATGATTTTAGCTGCGTATTGTTGAGGGATACAATATATATGTATATGCCTATGTTAGTGTTTCTGTATATGCATCCCAAACGACTTGCTGGCCGAATTCAAAAATTCCACAAATGCCTATTACAGACATCCCAAGGGCCTCTTCACTGGGGCAATGTAAGTGACTGCCTGGTATCATACTTTTATTCTGGGAAGCCACATTAAGAGAGAGTTAATGATGTGCAAGGGAGGAAATTGCCGTCTGAGAAGGAGATGACTTTCAAATTGTCTCTCTCAATTTTATAAATAAAGTCTCCGAAACACCCAAGTCAAGCCATCTTCATTGGTAGTCACTTATTAATCCAACTAACATTTACTTAGCCACTAAATAGCATCTTAAGACTCTTCCAGACTGTTAATACACACCTGCATTTTTACTAAAAGAAAAATGTTACCTAATCAAGAAATATAGACATTATCGCTGGGCACATTCCAAATACAGGGAATTCCAGGAAACCTAGAAACACACTTCCTCCCATGTGCTTCCCTCCAGGTCCACCAAGGTAGAAATTTGAGCTGGAGCAGCTAATAGATATGTAAATTCTCAGATAACCTTCAGCAAGTATTGCTTATTGAATTAATAAAGCCTCTGAGGTTTATAGCTAGTTACTGTTTACCAGGAAAAATACTGTATGTAAATAAGTACTTGAGCTTCAAAAAATGTTCTACCTTTAGAGTGACCAACCATCCCAATTTTCCCGGGACTGTCTTGGTTTTAGTGCTAAAACTCATGCATTCCAGGGAAATGTCTCAGTCCTGGGCAAACAAGTCCAGTTGGCCATTCTAGCTCCCTTAGAATCCTCAGAGGATTGATCCTGAGCAAAGGATCTGCTCTCCAAGCAACCCTGAAAAGAGTAGTAATTTAAGCTGTGTTCAAGTGGTTGCTAAAAGCTCTTAAGTACCACATTCAAAACAACCTTCTGAGGCAAATACTATTATTATCCCTGCTTTACAGATGAGGCGCAGAGGCAGGAAACTTAAAACTCGCCTGAGATGACTTAGCTAGCAAGTGGCGCCGGCAGGATTTGAACCCAGACCAGTGCAGCTCTGAATCCTGCATCCTTAAACAGCATGCCACACTTCCCTTATTCAAAGAGATCACTCAGTCAGAGCCCCTTATAGGCTGTCAGACTCCACCCCAGCTCCCAAGTCATTCAATAAGGGAAATCTGGAATTATCAAAGATCTTGTTATTTCCTTAAAACATTTTGGCAACAAACTTTCAAGATCTCAGAAGGATAGACAAGTGTTTTTGTGAAGTGTGATTTTCCATCTATTGGATTCTAAGCCACTTGAGGTGCCTACTTAGCAAAATAAAGCAGAGCCTAGGCTGCAGCACCTGGCCGAGTCTGGGTGATGGTGGCCCGCAGTTCCTGCGCGGTTGTCCAGAATTCTAAGGCTTTCAGCAGAGATTTGAGAAATGGCAACAAATGAAAGTATCGTCATCTTTAGTTCAGCATCCTTGGCTGTGGAGTATGTAGATTCACTTTTACCTGAGAACCTTCTACAAGAACCATTTAAAAATGCTTGGAACTCTATGTTGAATAATTATACAAAGTTCCAGATTGCAACATGGGGATCCTTGATAGTTCATGAGGTCCTTTATTTCTTGTTCTGTTTACCTGGATTTTTGTTTCAATTTATACCTTACGTGAAAAAGTACGAAATTCAAAAGGATAAACCAGAAACATGGGAAAACCAATGGAAATGTTTTAAAGTACTTCTCTTTAATCACTTTTGTATCCAGCTTCCTTTGATCTGTGGAACTTATTATTTTACAGAGTATTTTAATATACCTTGTGATTGGGAAAGAATGCCAAGATAGTATCTGCTTTTGGCAAGATGCTTCGGCTGTGCAGTGATTAAGGATACCTGGCACTATTTCCTGCATAGGCTCTTACATCACAAAAGAATATATAAATATATTCATAAAGTTCATCATGAGTTTCAGGCTCCATTTGGAATGGAAGCTGAATATGCACATCCCTTGGAAACTTTGATTCTTGGAACTGGATTTTTCATTGGAATCATGCTTTTATGTGATCATGTCATTCTCCTTTGGGCATGGGGGACTATTTGTTGATAGACACTATTGATGTCCATAGTGGTTATGACATTCTTCTCAACCCTTTAAATCTGATCCCTTTCTATGCTGGTTCTTGGCATCATGATTTCCACCACATGAACTTCATCGGAAACTATGCTTCAACATTTACATGGTGGGATAGAATTTTCAGAACAGACTCTCAATTTATTGCCTACAATGAAAAGATGAAGAAGATTGAGAAAAAGACTGAATAAATATCTCATCTAAACCTTCCTGAAGATACACACTTTCCTGAATTGAAGCGAGTAGCTAACGTTGCTTCTGCGGAGCAGAAATAAACATGTGTCTTGGCTGCTAAGTGACACAAAGAACGTTAACAACCTTTAATTATCTTCCTAGTGGGAACTTTTTCTACTTTACATAAAAGTTCTGTACGTGTAGAAATAAGTATATATTTAAGTACGATTTTCATGAGGAAGTTGTAAAGGCCTTGTTGCTAACCTTACAGAAAGGTTTTAAGTAATGGAAGAAGTATTAATTTCTCTCTTTCCCCCCAGTAATACCATAGGCCTGAAGTTGAAATTGGTCTTTAAAATCTTTTAAATATATAGTGGCCATTTCAGAAACTCTTAGGAGGGTGTTGGCCTCATATTGAACTTTAAACATTTTTTAGAATTTGCCTAAACATCAAAGTATCATGAGTTGAACCATATCAGTTGACAGTGAGTGAGGCTGCCGAATCAGGAATAGCCAGTACCAAGAACTTCATTCTTGTCCTGAGCTGACCGGTTTGGGGTGATTCTCTTTCTTTGAGAAGTCCTTTGGGATTGCACTGTACTACTGGTATCTATAAATTAAGGCATTTCTGAATTGTTGTAAGTGGAATATTTTAGTCTAAAGGTTTTCAGGTTACTTGAATTTTTTAAAAAATTGAGCTTTATTTCTGCTATTTACCCTTCCATTTTTGTATATCAAGTTTTCATTATACTTAAAACTGTATCTTGAAACATGAACTGACTTGCTGTATTTGCACTTTGAACTATTGAAATAAATGTGATTTTTTTGTCTGATAAAAAAAAATAAAGCAAAAACTGGAGCCCCAACTGAGACCTACTAAATCAAAGTGTCTGGAGATCTATGCTTTTTTTTTTAATTGAAGAATAGTTGACATAAAATTTTATATTAGTTTTAGGTGTACAACAGAATGATTTGATAATACAATACATTATAAAATGCTTACCAGGATAAGTGTAGTTGCCATCTGCCACCATACAAAGTTATTACAATATTATCGACTATATTCCTTTTGCTGTACTTTTCATGAGGGTCTACACTTTAAACAAATGCCCAAATTGACCCAGGTGCATGGTAGTTTGAGAACTGCTGGGCTAGAAGGTTCTGAGGAGATCAGCCAAGATCTAAGAAATTCACTCTAACCATTTTCTTGATTCTTATGTTCTGTCACCCCACCTAATGTGAATACACCCCAAGTTCCATTATTATGTCCTTTGACCTTCTCTCTCCTCTCTTCCTCAGAGACCTCCATTATCACCTCTGCCTACTACATTATATGAGGAGCCAGACCTAAGTCCCACTTCCATTCTAGCATTAATTTTGTAACACTGAACAGATCAGTTCTCTTCTCTGGACCTCAGCTTTCTTACCTGTAAAATGGAACATGATACCTGATCCTCATGTAAAGGTCTTTCCAGGCTTAACATTTATGGTCTACATCATTATTCTCAGAGTGGGTTATGAGAGATCCAGCCATAACAATTACTGAAAGTGTTTATTAGAAAAGCACATCAAAAAAAGAAAAAAACACATCCATTGATGGATGAATGGATAAAGGAAATGTGGTCAATAGGTCTATTCATACAATGGAATACTATTCTGCCTTAAAAAGGAAGGAAATCTTGGGGCGCCTGGGTGGCACAGTCAGTTAAGCATCCATCTTGGTTTCGACTCAGGCTGTGATCTCAGGGTCGTGAGATCAAGTACTGCATGGATCTCCACACTCAGAGTGGAGTCTGCTTAAGACTCTTTCTCCCTCTGCCTCTGCCCCTCCCCCCTCTAAAATAAATAATTTTTTTTTTAAGAAAGGAAGGAAATTTTGTCACATCTACAACATGGGTGAAACTCAAGGACATTATGCAAAGTCAAATAAGCCAGTTACAAAAGAACAAATGCATGATTCCACTCATGCAATATCTAAAGTAGTCAAAATCATAGAACTAGAAAGCAGAAAGGTGGTTGCCAAGGGCTGGGGAAAGACAAGAGAGGAGGGAACTAATGTTTAATGGGTAAAGAGTTTCAGTTTTGCAAGGTGAAAAAGTTCTCGAGATCTATTACACAACAGTGTGAATATACTTAACACTACTGAACTATACACATAAAAATGGTTAAGAGGGTAAATTTAATGCTATGCACGTTTTCCACAATAAATAAAAAGAAAAGCACAGTTCTAAACTCCAGCCCAGAGCTATTGAATCAAAATTTCAAGGGTTGGAGCTGTGAATGTGCATTTTTAACAAGTTCCCCAATGTGATTTTTATCTCCTTTAAATTTTGAGAACCACCAACAAAAATGTATAGTAAATCCTCTCTTCACTACAACAAATTTGATATCATGGTTTTAGCTTCCCCTTTTCTTTTTTTAAAGATTTTTAAAAAAGATTTAAAGATTTTATTTATTTATTTGACAGAGAGAACACAAGCAGGGGGAGTGGCAGGCAGGAGAGGGAGAAACAGCAGGAGCCCAACATGGGGCTTGATCCCAGGACCCTGGGATCATGACCTGAGCCGAAGGCAGATGCTTAACCAACTGAGCCACCCAGGAAGAAAGCTTTCCCTTTCCCTCAAGAATATTTATGTGCACTTCCCCTTGCTGCCAGCTAGTGTGCTTAGAGAATGTAAATTCATTTTATTATTAGCCAAAGAAGAAAAGAGTCCAAAAGCTAAAATGTGCTGCAAAAGAAGGTCATCCAGTCCATTTCCAAGGCAAACAGAGTTGACTTTGGATCCAGCACAGTTTTGGATTACCCATGACTTTGATCTTCTCCATTAGAGTGAGTAATTGAAAGCTGGCTATGTGTATGCTTACAGAAATTATTATTTTAAATTGTTCACATTCGATAAATCTCAGCCTCTGGTGCTCTGGTAAGAAATGGTGGTAAGCATATTAATGAGCACTTTCCTGAGAATGAGATTTTATAACTTCTAAACAACCATGAAGCCTCCTGTTTTCATTGTCACTAATTAGGAGCTTGCGTGATTCAAGGTCAGTGTTAGGTGAGGGATAAGAACATTAGCTCACATTTACTGGACGCTTACCATGTGCTGGGCACTAGGCTCAATTCTATCCACGGAGGATCTCATTTAACCTTTAACCTTGGCCTACAAATTGATGTGATTATTAACTTCTTTGCAGAAATGGAGGCTCAGAGAGCCTCAACAATTTGCTGAAGACCACTTTCTGCCTTTCTGGCCCATCCTCTTAACCATGACACTATGGCCTTTATTGCACACAGTTTTTCTCTTTCCACACTTCCTACTCACTGGTAGCTTTTGTCCCAGACCAATAGTGCTGTTAGATGAAGGGCATTAGGTAAGCAGCTTTCATTAGCTGCTTGGAAGTTAACTTTTCACCTTGTCTCCAGTACCTGGGCTTTGTTCTTAATACAAATACACTCTGATACCTAAGCCTCTGTTTTCTTACCCACCCTGCCCTGTGCCTCAGTTTCTAAGGCTAGAAACCTGTCTTTCTCTTGCCAGTCCTTCCATGACTCTTCAATTTCCCTCCTTTCTTAGATGTGCTTGCTCACCTGCTTGGACATTTCTAGATTCCTTGCTGCTGCTCTACTCATGGCTTGCATGCTTTATTACCTCCACTGCACCTCTCCAGTGCTGACTTCATAGATTCATAGAAAATTAAACTAAGTTTTAAAATTAAACTACCATTGGAATCACAGCCCGCAAAAGTAGGCTAAGACCTCTGTGCTAAACCTAAACAAAGTAACTGCTTGACAAAAGAAGTTACACAAGACCCAGAGTCTCCCAACATAGTAGACAAAATGTTCAGGATGTAATTGAAAATCACCTATCATACCAAGAGCCAAGAAAACCATAACTTGAGTTAGAAGAGACAACTGACAACAACACTGAGATTAATCAGATGTTGAAATTATCTTCAGAACAACCAGCATAAAAATGCTTTATCAATGCAAATTCTCCTGAAACAAATGAAAAAGAAGAAAATCATAGCAAAGAAAGAGAAGTCACAAAAGAGTCCAACGGAAATGGTAGAACTGAAAAATATATAGCAGAAATGAAAGACTTATTGGATAGATTCAATAGTAGAATAGAGATGACAGAGGATGGAATCAATGATCCTGAGGACAGATAAACAGCATTTACCCATTCTGAATAACAGACAGAACACAGACTGAAAAAAAAAAACAAAAAACAAAAGCAGATCCTCAGGGACCTGTGGGACAATACCAAAAGTTCTAACATTCGTATCATCAGAGTTCCAGAAGGAGAAGAGAAGAGAGTGGGGCTGAAAGAAAATATAATGACTAAAAACTTCCCAAATTTGGCAAAAGATACAAAACCTACAGATTCAAGAAGCTAGAGCAAACCCCAAACGGGATACACCCAAAGAAATCCATGCCAAGACATACCGTCATTAAACTTTTAAAACTAAAGGCAAAGAAGAAATCTTGAAAGCACCCAGGAAAAACAGTGCGTTGCCTACAGGACAACAGAAGCTCAAATTACATCAGATTTCTCAACTGAAACCATGAGGGTAGGAATGAAGGGATACATTTTTCAAGTGCTGAGAGAAAAATGTCAACTGCGAATTCTATACAGGCGAAAATATTCTTCAAGAATGGAGATATGAAAGCAATTTCAGATGAAAGATGGGCAAAATAATTTTTCACTAGCAGACCTACTCTTAAATAATGGCTAAAAAAATTTCTTTAAACAGAAAAAGATTATAAAAGAAGGAATCTTGGAGCATCAGGAAGAAGAAACAGCAGCTAGAGCAAACATAAGGGCACATATAACTGATTATCATTTTCCTCCTGAGTTTTATAAATCTTATTTGGTGGTTGAAACAAAAATTATAATACCATCTGATACTGAAGATAATGATAATTAAAAGAAAGGAAGGTGGAGGGGGCGCCTGGGGGGCTTAGTTGGTTAAGCATTTGACTCTTGATTTTGGCTCAGGTCATGATCTCAGTGTCGTGAGATTGAGCCCCCCGCCCCCGCCGAAATCTGTGCTGGGTGTGGAGCCTGCTTAAGATTCTCTCTCTCCCTCTCCCTTTGCCCCTCCCCCACTCTCTAAAACAGACCAAAAAAAAAAAAAAAAAAAAAGAAAGGAAGGTGAAGGAACCTAGTCATGTGTGGCAGAGACTGCTCATCAAAACCTATTCGCCCCTTCCTCTATAATAATAGAATTGTGTCTGCAACACGGCTGTCCAGCCAAGAACTCCCTTTCCTAGCCTTAAATCCTTTTGCAATTAGAGCAGTGGTGTGACTAAGTTTTCACCAATGGCATGTGAGTGGAAGTGATGTGTGCTGCTTTCAGGCCTGAGCTAAGCAGAGGCAAGATTATCCAAGGTCTAGTAATTCATGGGAAGAGTTTGGATTTTGTACTATTGCCAGTGGGAATACTCTGGAAAACAATTTGGCAATTTCTTTCAAAACTAAACGTGTTCTTATAATAAGACCTAGCAATTGCACCTCTTAAGCATTTATCCCAGAGAAACGAAAACTTGTATTTACACAGGACCTATACATGACTATTTAGAAATAACACGAATGCTCTTTGATGGTTGAATGGATACACTGAGGCACATCCATAACATGGAATACAACTCAGAAATAAAGAGGAACAAATCATGGATATATGCAACAGCCTGGATGAATCTCCAGAAAATCATGCTGAATGGAAAGAGCCAATCCCCAAAAATGACATGCTGTATGATTCCATGTAAATGTTTTTGAAATGACAAAATTATAGAAACAGAGATTAGTGGTTGCCCAGTGTTAAGGAGGTGGCAAAGAAAGGGA